TGTGAAGACACTGTTGCAGTAATAACTTCTACTAAAGATGAATGCATGAATTAGTTTTTCTAGTTTTTCTTTGTCACAAATGCAACTGTCACATTTGTTTGTCCTTGTGTGTCTGTGGCTCATCCTCTGCCCTTTGACCTTGTGGGACAGAACCTCACTGTTTTGGAGGAAATCAAAAGCCTCCTAATGCACACAAACACTGAGACACATTTTGGTGAAGGGGGCAGCAGGGGTGGGGTAGTGGGCAGGAAATGCTGTGTACCCCCTCCCTAAGGCTGGTTCCTGTCCTTGAGTTCTGAGTGCATTGTGTGTATTTTTCTCAGAGTTCCTTATAATCCTGGCATATGTAATGTTAAAAAGAAATCTCTTTTTTGACCCCTGGATTAGGCAGATGTTGATGTTTTTTGCATGTGTATTGCCTGTTATAGCTGCATCTACAGACAGCATATCTTGCTGCCCTCACAGCACATGTCATTGATCAAGTCAGCATTGCAACATGTGGCATTCCTCAGTAAATTCAACTCCCCACTGATTTGATTAATGGCCTGCAAACAGATACACCCATTCTTCTGCAGACACCCTCCAAGCCACCCTCCCACCTCCTCCCTCTCCAATGTCCAGTCTCTTCTCTCCTATTGCAAACCTCCTCATATTATCCTTACATCACCCCTTTCTTCAAAACTAATGCCATTTATTTCTCTGTACTTGTTGCTTGATTATCGGCTGGAAGGCTGATGAAGCAGAAGTAAATTTCAGACTTTTTTTAACTGTCTTCTGAAAGGACAAAGCTGGACGAAAGTCTAAAGAGGCTGCTCAAGTGGAGAATATTGGAGCTGATGCTTTGGGCAGTTGTGTAAGAGCTCTGCAGCTTTTAAGAAGGTTGGAAACTTTAGCCCAGTGACTTAACCCTCTTGGCTTGAACCCGATCCTCCAGTGAATCAGCTCAGCAAAGCCTGACATTCTGATTTCAGCAACACACTCTCTCCCACTCAGCATGGGCTGCTGTAAACCCCGACACCCTTAACGAAGAATGAACAGACACTCATCATCTCCTGTAAATAAGCAGCTGAAACTGCAAACAGATGCTTTGTATCAATGCTTTTTGAAGGTTGTGTTTGTGGAATACTGACAAAATAGTTCCTATCCTAAGCATTGACGTGATTCAATCTCCATCTTCAGTTTCATTACAGTTTATTTCCCCAAGAAATACTATAAACAGCTTATATTGTTTAGGTTTGAGTTATGGATCAGTGTGAGCTTTACTTTACTCCTTTTCCTTTTTATTTTCTAGTAATTCTGACCCATGTGCTATAAATTTACATTCAGCACTGCCTAAATCAATACTATGAAGAGGCTTTGCACATCTACTTACTTAAATCTGGGCCCAACCTATTTGCTTAATAGCTTTTGCTGTTACAAGTACAATGGATAAAATATCCTGTCCTTTTAAACTTTAAAAACCATTCAATTTATTCTCAAGGGTACAAAATCCAACCATCCATGATCCATCCAACTTATACATTTGAGGTGAGACATGCCTATTTTTGTTTAGGAAGTTTGGTCAATCCTGGGCAGGTCTTCAGTCAGTACAACATCAAAGATCACAAACATTGTTGTGCTACTATATAACAATGATTAAACCTGATGAGCATGAAAAAAATGGAACCACTGAGATTTAAGGTGATGATTTATTATTAATCTTTTATCACTGCTGTATTTCTATAACACATTTTCATTTTGACATATCACAGATATGAAAAGCATAATTGTGACTACAGGAAATAGAGAGCATCAGCTCTTTGAATTCACCACACAAGAGTTTCAGTACAATAGCTTTGCATTTATCAAGATAAAGCAATTCAAATGTAAGGACTTCATTGTAATTATCTTTATCTTAAAGGTGGGGGGGAGTGGGGGGGGTCACATGTTGCTACATTTTCACGTCAGGCAATAACATAAATGTGTCTGATTCTACGTAGGTTTTCAAAGCTTCAGCCACACTGACTACAGTAAAAAGTCTAAATGCTAAATGCAAGTAATTTTATGAACCACTCAAGATTAATATTCTATAATAATGAAGAAAGAAAAGCAAATATTTGGTCCATAAAGAACCTCTTCTATGACATGTGATGGAGATTTTCATCAGAACTAAAATGTTCTGTTTTCTGAGTTTGTTGGCAGATCGCTTTAAGTGTGAGCTAATAGAACAAAGCTGATCCAAAAATAAACTTTGTATAGATCTGTGGCAAGGTGCTTTGTGTTCAGTAAAACAGTCCCATAGGTTGGTAAGCAACATATAAAAAAGGCAGCTAAACCGTATTTGCTTGTTTATTTCCTGTTTTTCCAGAAAAGGCTGAACATATCCAATAATGAGAAATTCTGAAGTTTCTTTTGTCATGGGAGTTAAGATGTAGACAAGGGAAGGCCTGTTAGATGAGGCTGAAATACTTAGTAAAATATATGAGGTTTTAAAAACTCTGTTAAAGTGTCCACAGAGACCAATTGAGGATAAAATGCAGCTGAATCCAGGCATTGTGTATTTCCAGCTGCAGAAAATTCAGCTAGGACATCAGTCTACAAGCTGTCGGATTAAATGTCTGTCGCTAATGGTTCAGGAATGTTAAATTAGTCAGGGGATGCACGCGTGATGCTGTGAACGACAAAATACTTTAAGGGGGCCAATTTGATACCTATGAACATTTAAAAGGAAAGATGACAACTCCAGTGATCTCATTGCCTCACAGCTAAATAGTCACAGACAGCCTCCTACACTCCAAAACTAAACAAAAAACTGTCCTTATCAAGAACGTTTAATTTCAGCAGCAAATAGGAAAATAAGTGTGGTTTTTGGAGGCAGAATGAAGATATCCCAAAAGAAAACTGAAATTAGACTCATCTTTAAAATCTGAGCTTTTTTCTCTACACTGGGTGCCCACATGTTTGACAGTTCAAGCGAAGCTCAGTCCCCCACTGAGTCACTGGATGCGTAGGTGTGCAGCTGCTAAAATGACTCTTACCTCTCACATTCTCATAAGCTGAAAAAAGAAGCCAGGGGACAAATGAACCCCCCTGATCAAAGTGAGCTTCTGTATTCAGGGGTTGTGTGTTTGCATGTGCACAGCCTTTAGGGGGCTGTTTACATTGAGCAAGCTAAGTCATGCAATCTGATCTCAAGGTTTGACGGCCTTTCTCAAACACATGGGTGCATGTGCACTCATGCACCTTTCAACACGGAGAGCAATTGGGAGGAAATTCTGTTAGCTCAATGAGACGTCCAGGCGTCAGTGCATGTCTCTCTTTGTGTTGAGATTGTTGCCATATGTTTCACCCAGGATGCTCAGCTTAAAATTGAGGTATAATACGTCCATCTGCACTGCCCTTAGTCTCATTTCCTGCTTTCATTTAGAAGCTACTCATGTCAATAACTGGGTTTATTCTGTCCAATTTTCTATCATGCCTCTTTTGGCTTTCACCCCCTTTGTAAAGTTCTCTCTGGGTGTTGTGCTTTACACACACCCCTACACCTGCACCAATGCTGCTCGCACTGTGTGTATCCGCAGTGTTTCCCGATAGGTGGGCAGGTGTGTGCAGGTGTTCCACCGATCACTCAACATCATATAAGCCTCTCCCATTAGCACGCACTAACCATACAACAGTGTGCTGCTCTATCATCCTATTCACAAACTGTCATACATGTCCTAATGAACTCTTGTGTCAATACAAACCCTTAGAAAGACTGACATTAAAAGGAAAAAAACACTTTTTTAAAAAGAAATCCTTTTATTTACAAATGACAGGAATAAAAATACACAACTCTGCAAAATTAAATTCATCTTCAAGCAAATGTTTTACAAAATCTGCAGATTGAAAGTTGTAAAAAAAAAAAATTTGGTCAGGCTCAAGTGAGCTATTACATCCCAGAATGGTTGTGCAGCGAGGACAGGGCAAATGGTGTGTGCATCACCTGTCGTTGAGGTTGCAGCTAGCGCGTCTCTCAGCACCCTGCCTCCATGGTGCACCATGCAGACAGCTGTCTCAACACCCACACATCATGCATCTATAGCATGGTGAGGAATGACATCCCCGCATAAGCAAAAAAACACACCCAAGCAGCTGCAACATGGCCACAGTCCCGGACCGGCCGGCACCAATTAAGTTTCCTGGGAATTAACAACACTTTCAGCTGCCAGTTTCAAAAACATGCAGCAAATAACAGTGTGAGATCAAGTTGGACAATCATGAATTAAAGGCACTTAAAGAAACTGCATTCTAGGCAGGTGACAACAATTTGTGTTTTCTCATCGCAAACCAGCTTCAGCTGGGTCTCCTTTCAAGGCGCTCTGGGGAACCATGCTCTACGAGGAGGGACAACATCCAGAGGAGCTGTGTTTGTGCAGCAGGGACATGCGGCTGAAGGTCCGAGAGCAGGTGCTGCACTGGTACTTCTTCACCTCAGAGTGGGTTTGCAAGTGGGCACGGAGGTTGGAGCGGTCAGCGAAGGCCCGGTTACAGTGTTGACAGGCGAAGGGGCGCTCACCTTTGTTAGGAAGAGAGAAAGAACACTGTGAGCATCAGAGGAAAATCACATTCATTTATTTTTTTTAAGATCCACAGAAAAGCAGAGCGACAAACAATCAATCAGGAGTCAATTCTCTTTTTTTTCTCTTGTAGACCAAGTTTTTGGCCGAGATTAGTTTGTGTGAGGTTAAGCAATGATATTTGCTCATGTGTTAATAAATACCAATGAGCACAAGGTGCAGCCACTCGCATCAGCAAATTTAAAACAGTAATAATCAATAGTGACTTCAGATCTTTACCTGTGTGTGTGCGGATGTGTCCCCTCAGCAGCCAGGGCCTGGAGAAGGCCTTGCCGCAAGTTGGACAGACGCAGGGAAGGGTGTGAGAGCGGATGTGCATCTTCAGTGCTCCCAGGCTGGTGTACTCCTTGGAGCAGTGTTTGCAGTGAAAGGCTGGACGCGGCGATGCCTCTGAGGGCATGGGGGGGGTCTGTGATGACGATCCATCGGGAGGGAGCTGGTGGCTGGACACCTGATGATGCGAGAGTGCAGAGAGGCTGCTGTAGGTCTTACTACAGTGGAAGACGTTATGGATGGCCTCTGGACTGGGGGGATCAGAGGTCCGTCCACCGTCCTCAGATTCCTCACCGCTGCTACTGGAAGGAGAGCTGCTGAGGTTCAGAGGGCCCAATGGAGAAGGAGGCAAGGAAACAAGGGTAAGTGGGGAAAAAGGAGCAGGCAGGACATCTGAGCTTGTGAAGAAGGGGCTGCTGGGATGGCAGGTGAGTGCAGAGGCGTTATTCTGAGTTGGAAGTTCAGCCAATGGAAAGCTTTCCGGGACAAAAGCTGAAAGCAAAGAGGAAGTATGGTAGATTAAACAGATGATCCAAGCTTGTTATCATTCTCACTCTCAGGTTGCAGTCTAAGCATCAAGCTTTCTCATCAACAGATTTTCCAGATGACTGGATGAGTCTTTTCAAAAACCTACATTCACCTTTCACTCTCTTTATTTCTGCAGATGCATAAATAAAGCAGTAAAGGTACTTATTCTGCATCGTTTTATTTTGAAAATATTATTAATAAAACTTACCAGTTTGGCTTTCCAGTTGGCTTTCCCTGTAATATGGCTTCTTGGTTGAGAAATACTTCTTGACAAGAAATGATCGAGGCATGTTGAGCTCCAATTTGTCCTCAACCAAAAAAATTAAGTAATAATGAATCTCCAAAACCAAATGCTTCCCGGTCCCAGTGCGCCTCGGTTAACTGTTACTTCCAGACAAACTGAGATTAAAACTAATCGGGATACAGAAGCACAACCTGCGGAGTTGCATGTATCTCTGCGTTAAAGTTTGCCTCCTCATATACAGGGGGAGAAAGCAGCGGGGTGGGTGGGCACATCCCCGCCTAAAGACACACCTCTGCACGCCGCCATCCCTCTCACCGCAGGTGCCCAAAATGCCCAAATCTCCAATAAAGCAGCGACTGCGCATGTCCCGGATTTCCTTTAACTGCAAACTTTCCCTCATATGTTAAAACTTTCAACCTTTGCAATATGGATGTTTGGTTTTTAAAAGATAACAATTCGGTTTCTCTCTCGTGAATATCTACAAATCACCAATAAGAGACTCAAAAGCTCCATCAGTAAATTTATGCTGCAGAAATTTCATAGAAAAAACTAATGAGAACTAATGCATAGTAAATGTTTGAATGAAAATTAATTAATTATAAATCAAGTTACTGAAATAAATCACTTTTTATTGATATATTCATTATGAATACAGCGGATATAAAATCCTATTCAGATTAAATCTAATAAACTTTTTCTTTGTTGTTCAGTCAAGTAAAATGATCATAAATCATTATCTGCAATGGAAGCTTTTTAGAAAAACTAACAATATAAAAGAGAAAATTAATAGAAACGTCTTCAGGTACAGACTAGTGAAACATTTGGAACATTTATATCTCCATAAAAATGTTCATATGAACCAAAGTGATTAGATATAAGAATTATATGTTGCTGTATGAAATAACTACCCTAAATAGGAAAAAGGGAAATAATTTACAAAAACTTGCGTTTCCTCCGACCATCTTAGTAAAACTACTCTGCAGGAATCTGATATTACTGCCACATAACAGAAAACTCATGGAAAATATATAAATATATTGATTGTCCATATAAAGTCAAATACAATATCTATAATGAAACTTAAACAGTTTTTCCTCTTTTCTAAATCAAAACAATCCGCATTTGAGCTGCTTCTCTTTTTTTCTAATCCAATCAGTTGATTTTTTTTTCTTCAATTAATAATTAAGTGATAGCCTCTAAGTAAATCCTGGATTTATACTACCAAAATGAGTGAATATAAACCATAAAACAAAGTTTAATTGGGTAAAAACCAAGGAGAGCGCCCTCTGCTGGTCTCTATTCTCACAGTTCTATAGAAAATGCCCGTTTAAAGGCTGAGGCGGCTCCAATGCGCTCTGATGGTACAGAATAGAAAAGTAAGATTTTAACACGCAGATGTTTAAAGCAGACATTTTGTTCACACACAAGGAGACAGACGGCACTCTTCCAAACAAAAAGCCCAGTTCATCCTGCTCTGTTCTCCTCTCCTCTCTCAGTGGGAGATAAATGACCCTGAATAGGAGCAGCACTGTTCTCCTGCTTCCTCACAGCTTGAGAGCAGGTCAAAAATTAAGGGAACAAAATGATGAAGCTGTTGGAGCGCCTGCCTTCGGGTGGTTTGAAATGCTGGGAGGAAATGAGCCTATGTTGAGGTCAGATGTCCATTTTGATCCTGCATTTGTAAATTGAAACCCCTAATTCATTTTCATTCGTAGTATATTTTTTAAATAGAAATGTATATTTGCTTATATGTTGTTTTTTAACGTTTGGACTCACTTAGAGTCGTGCGTAAAACGACTGAATCTGCACTTCAGGTGCCAGCCATCAGACAGGAATGTCTCAGCTTTAACTGGTGCTATTTAACATTGCAAAGAGAGTCAGAGGCTGGGTTGTGGGGGGGTCGTGGTGGTGGGGGTGCACCTGTCCAAAAGGCGCTATTGTCACAGAGTGGCCAAAACTTCACACATCGTTAGAGCGCTTGTTGATGCTGACGCCACGTAGACTGCGGGTCAGCAGGGCAGGGCTGCAGTAAAAACAAAGCGGCAAACATCCTAGAAACACGTGAAAGTGCTTCTGCTGCTGGGGATTTCTTTCACAATTTGATTCTTTGGGTTTAAATGATGAGTTTGATTAAGCATTTGATAGTTTGACCCCAATCACTTTATGCTTGCTTTGGTCATTCCTGCAAAAAGCAGGTGATTACGCGCACCGATGAATGGAGTCTGTGGAGGGGACAGTTTGTCTGTGGGAGACAGACTGCAGACAATTTGTGTTACAGCAGGTTAGAGTGACCCTTTGACATGAAAAGTTTTCTGCAGGGAACAGATGTTTGGCTCATCTGTGGCCCCAGGCCTGAATCAGACACACAAGCCTCACTTAGGTCTGCTAAGATCTTGAATGGATGCCCCCAAAATCACTGCTGCAGAGTGAAATTAGAAGACAAGAAGGCAAAGTATATCAGCTCATGTTGTCTTTTGAGGGGGAAAAGTGCGCACAATGTGAAAATAATGTTTTGCTAATGAAAAACTCCTTATTTCTAGATGTATTTATTGATTAATTGACTTTAATGATCTCACAGTGGAGAAATGTACTCCTTACATCAGCTGAATTAGTCAGACAAGAAGAAGGTGCCAAAGGAAGAAACATTTTCATAGGACATATATTTATATATATATCTTAATGGAAAAAAAGATGTGAAGATGATTTATATTTACAAATACAAATACCCATGGTATCTTTCATAAAGCTCCTTATTAGAATAGCTTATGTGTTGATGCAGTCAATGAAAACTCAGATAACTTTTTTGTTGTTGTTATTTATTTACAATGAAAGGAACCACGTGGGTTAGATATATTCTACTGATCAGAAGAGCCAAGAAGCCCATAATATATCTAGAGGAGCTTATAAGAGTAATAGGTAATATTTGCCTTTATTTCTATTGGGCAATAGCAATTCATACAATCTGCTTTTTCATGCCTTTATGTGAGAGTGCAAATAATCAACCAACCAAACCTTTAAAGATTGGACCATGAAATAATCACCAGAAAATGCTTTTATTCTACTTTTTTTAATTAGAGTTGTCATTGAACTTTCTGGCAAATTATATTAATTACACACATGTTGTATAAGTGAAATTAGATTTCTGTATATTCTTTTTCTAAAAATGCCGTTCACTGCATTTTTCTGATTGTGTAAGTCTGCGTTTTCAGGAACAAGCATATCAAATATCCCACTGATGATGCAGTGGTCTCAAAAAATGTATGTATTAGAAATTATATACTTGGCTTGAAAGGGCTTTGCACTCTTAGCACACTAATCCCACATAAATTTGTATTGGTGTCTTTCTGGAATGACTTTTGCTAGTATGAATGGGAACCATGTTCAGAGGAGGCTACAGCTGATTTGAGATATGAGTTAAGGTTGCACTTCAATAAGCACAAATACACCAGATCAAATTATAGTTATGTGATCAAATGATCCAGATAGACTACTATCCTCACCAGAATATATGGAAAGACTTGAAAGGGAATGGGGGTTTTTTTCCACTACAGTCTATCTAATTAGTCTAAGCTTCACGTATTTTGTCAAGATTTTCCAATAATGTTGCTGTCTAGATGTACAAAAATAATGAGACATCCAAAGGACTTGCAGCTGCACCAAAAGTAGTTATGATGTGACTTTTTTATACTTTTCCAAGTTGCTCAGTATTGAAACACAGCAAACAAACAAAACAAAAAAACTGTGGAAAAGGGAATATTTGATTAGTTTAGCTCTGTATGTTCAACAGTTAACCTTCATCATGTATTTGAGAATGACCAACGCCCTTCTAAACACATTGTGCTGTAAGGTTGCATCCAAAGCAACTTTACATGTTAAAAGCCCATTGACAATCTTAGATCCATCAGCTAAATGCTCACCATTCATTCTGTTCTGAGGACAGGTGATGGCCACTTGATCACATTTACATAGTGCTAATGTCTGAGGAATCAGGTTTTCTTTGAATGTATTTCTAGTGTAGTTTGATAAAAGCCCTTTGTCTGCCCTAACATGATTATACTCAAATACTTCATACATATTTTACAGCTGCATCTTTGTTTGCCTGTTTGTGCATGTAGGTCAGGCTCTGTGTGTCTTATAGCTGCCCTGCAGATCAGAGGTCCTCCAGAAGGAAGATAAGATTATCCTACAGGAATGCTAGGCAGCTCTTACGCTCACTAACTCCTACAAAGCTTATTGGATTGAAGATACTTCTTTAAAATTTGACCTCTAAGATCTCAAAATTACAACAATTTTTTTTTAAACAGTTTACTGTTTTAAAAGCTTTTTTTGTCTTTCATAGAGGATCTTTCGAGGACGTGTCACAAAAAAAAATTAAAGGCCTATATTTTGTGGACTAATTATCTCAGATAAACTTTATTTCTACTAGTTTAATGAAATATTTGTACATACATGTCTATATAACATAAGCATAAGGAGTGTTTATTCATCTCTTCCATTTAAAATGCCTGCTGCATATTATAAACTGGCAAAGCTTTTTGATAATTTTTGATAAAAATTAATTTAAAAAATCTAATTTATCAAACGTCCTTAAAATATTCTTCTTTATTCTGTTATAAGACCACATGTTTTCCACAGAGTACTTATGAAAGCTCACAAAACACAAAGAGCTCTCAAATCGTTGAGAACAACAACAAAAAACTCTGATCTCTGCTTACTGGTTTCAACATGGTTGCTGGAGTAATACTAAAATTCCAACATGTCAGTTTTAATCTAGATCAATATCGCAAATTTATATAATAAAACAAAATGTTTCCTCTGGATATATATATGGCAGCAGTTCTTTGAGATCCCCAGAAGCAGTCTGAGGAACTTAAACTAGGAAACCACCAGTCCTGCCCAAACCACAAGGTTACCGCTTCCCCACCTGTTCTGTGCTTCATTAATTAATAAAATAGGAAAACACAGACAGGTGTCATTCTAAACAATGATCCCAGTTTATTACTAAAGGCTCTTATAATAAAACTTTACCGTTATATATTTATGAAGGGACACCTTTAGAATCAGCATCACAATCAGAACGGGTTTTATTACCATTTAGTCTTTTATATAACAATCATAATGTGCTGCTACAAATACAAACATACAGTCAACATAAATGAGTGTGGAAAATATATTCTGAAATGAACATTTGCAAGTTGTAGACCAATAATGAGAGAATCTGAAA